ACTGAAGAAGAAAGAAATACAAAGTACAGTTGCGAAGTGGACGACCATGGCCAGCTGAAGAGGAAAAACATCAGTCTTGTTGTCGAGAGTAAGTCTCAAGTTACTTCTTTACTTCAAGGGGATCTCAGTTGTTGTGTGTGCTTTTGGTAAACCTTACCCTTTGTCTTGAGTCAATTTTAGGATTTTTGGTTTTAGAATAAAACTTCTACAATGTTATTCAAGGGTAACCTGAAAGTCATATTTATGAAGTGAAACGCAAAATAACTAAGTATCTATTTTTCAAATTATTAAAAGGTTAGTTTTCATGCTTTTGCTTTAAAAAAATTGTTAACTGACTCGATGGACCACTGCCCAAGAAAAAGCGCCACATAAAAGAGCAAGGATATTGAAAACCGCTGCATCTAAGAGAGTGGCGTTCATTCAATGTACCATAACAAAGAGACGACTTGTTTACAAGAATTGCGTCTGTTTAATAGCCACTGTTTTTTCTTTCAACAAACAACGTGGATTTTCTTGTCTAAGGTACCATCTTGTCACAAATAGATTACGCTCGCCTTGCTCTAAGCAGATTATTTATTGAATACATTCTGGTGCAGTGTTTTTCTCATAAACATTGTGAAAGAAGTCTTGGGAAACGAAGTTGTAGCAGCCGTTGCATCTAACTTAGCAGCCAAAGAAAGAATAGAAAGAGCCTCGTGTTTGAAATTGTACTGGAAGTCAGATATGTAATCTGTTACCATTATGAGGGGGACTGGTAAACCAATTAGGAAGAACTCCATAGTGCGGTTTTGTCAAAGAAATATATCATGTCTTAATCTTTCTCCACGTTAGAGAGAGAATCAAACCAGGTGTCAAATGATGTATTCCTCATATTTTGTTACTGTTTGGTTTTCATCGATTTCTGACCATTATTAATTGATTTATATCAATTTAAAAAAGGAAAAAAATTGAATTGTTGTATATAAATCTTTTTTCATCAGTTGATTACGCTGAGAAACTAATCCAAATAACATCAAAAATGGCGAACTGATTTCCCTTTCTCACGTGACAAAGCGTGTTGAAAATAATACTGTCTGCAATCGATCTGCATTTAACAACTTTTGCTGTGATGCCATCAAAAACTGTGCTGTTCAAACTATTGAATAATCGCAAAATCGTTCAGAATGGATAAATAAACAACTAGCAAAAGTCGCAAGTGACGTCAGTGCAGTTTTCCCCTGAGCTCAATTGTAGCCATCAGAAAGTGATGCAAACACCTGCTGTCAATTTTCATTTGAAAAGTGATTAGTTGACGGTACCATTGCTAACCTAAAGGCATTTTCCATTACTTCGACCACGCGAGAGGCAATGCACGCAATAAAATCAGTGTATAGAAAAGTAAGAGCTGTTTTTCGGTTAGGATAGCCATCTTTAAGTCGTTTGCCGTATACGTCACATAAGGAAATAGAGGATTAGTAGGTCGGTCTATTTGAATCTATTTGAAATTGAGAATTAAAGGGCCGGGTCGAACAAGAGCAAATTCAACTATTTGCCAATTTTTTGCGAACCAAACATTGGCAAAAATTTTTGCAATTTTCAATTTTTGGAGGCGGTCGCATCAAACTAGTATCCTTTGATCAAAACTTCATTGATTGACACATTCGTTAATCACGAACCCATCTCCCTCTAGGAAAGCATAAAGAAAAAATTCTCGCTCGAATTACTGGGCAAGAATGGATCGTCATCGAATGATTATCTTCGTAGCTTTCTTTCTCTGCAAAACAACGTTGCGTTTTTTATCTTGGTGGTACATGATCAGCGGGCTTCTATGCGGCTAGTATCAGCTCTTAGACGTAGAAGACGAAGACTTCTATTAAATAGAGCTCGCTTCCAAAACCGTCCTTAGTCGAGGTCTCCGCGTACGGTGGAGTCATGGTTCGAGATTGGGACCATGTATCGTATTTCGCTTTCTTTTTTCCTGTCAATCTTTTTGGTTGCAGCTTGCACCACTTGTGCTGGCTTCCATGATTCCATTGGAAAGGGGAATTAAAGCCGATTGTTCTCCAGATTGCCGCCAGTGACCGGGCCCTGGGTACGAGTCAGACATTCAGATAAAAACGTCGCTCAATTTCCTCGTTTCCTTCAAACGAAAACTGAGGGTCAAATGTCCTGCCATCGCGTGCGCCAGACTACACCAGCGGACCAGTGTATATTTCCCGCTTAAATTTTATCTAGACATGTCTTGCGTACAATGACAGCTTAATGGTTAAAAAACAAGATTGTTCGGTGTGCTAAAAATTGGAAGCCTGCAAGGCAGGACATCGGCTTCTTTGAAGATTGGCGAAATTTTGGCGATCCGCAAAAAGTTGGCAAGGTTTTAAAATTGGGGGTAGCACTTATTTTACACTACTTGTTGAAAGATTTTTCGCTTAAACAAACAAAAAGCTCTAATGCGACCGTGGCCGTAGTAGGTTCGGTCTATTTGAATCTAAGTCGTAAACATGAAAAAATTTAACAAAATTTACACTGGACTGACTTTGCTACTCTCCTTATCTTCGAACAGATCAAACGGAAAATACCAAAGAACAACAAATCCCAATAATTAAGTATTTTAGATCATTTTCATACATGGCGGATAAAAATCATGTTCGTGACTATAAAGAGCTGTTTTTCACCAACGGCTGAATAGAAATAAAAAATGTGATGTGAAATATGTCTTCATTTCGACGAGAGAGCATTTTAGTTTTGGATGATTTTGAACAATGCTTAGCTAAACGGATGGTATACTTTGTAACGTGCCATCATCAATTTGATTCGAACAAACAGATATGATTCAAATATCAATTTTTAATGGAAGCCTGTTTTTGTTTGTCAGAGTGCCCTCAACAGTGCCAATGCAAAGTCCTTAAAGGTAACATGAAGAACTTAGTATCGGCCGACTGTGGAACGAAACAGCTTAAGTCAATTCCAGAGAAAATTCCCCGAGCTACAGGAAAACTGTAAGTTCTTAATACATCATATAAGTTTAGGTAACGACATGATTTCGAGTGCAATTTGATGCTAATAAATACTAAAAATTTTCAAAGACAACAAAATTGCACGAGTCCGTCTTTGACAGATTTACAATTGCGCTTATTTACACCAAATTGCATTCGAAATCATGTCGTTACTTGTTAGTCTTGTTAATGCTTACATATGAAAAACTCACCACAGAAGTACGTCAAGAAGGACGAAATTTTGGCAGCGCCAATAAGAATTTATATGAAAAATGCAATCGTTTTCAGCCAATCAGACATGCGTAATTTTTTCATGTAAACGATTAAGCCTGAAATTTGGCCTTTGTTCGAATTTGGAAGTGGCACAATGATTGCCTAAAGTACGAGAAGGTTATACTAAAGACAAAATAATTTTATGGTCGTTTGTAATTTTATAAGAAATTTCATAAGAAATAACAAGAATTACATTCCATAACTGTTGAACCAGATGCGTCGGGTGATTTTCCCTTTCTATCTGCATTCAGAGTGTTGAAATGAAAGAAGAGCCAACTGATTTACCTTAGAATGTAAAAAAAACCAGTGAAAGCATATTCAATGTATTTGAAAATGTTGTACAGGTTAATTTCAGTCAGATTTACGCAGGAGTTTAAGATATTGACTTTGTTTTACTTTCGATCAAGAGTTTCTCTACCGGTTTCTTTTTTTGACACTCATTCGGTAAAAACAGATGACGGTTTTTCTGCTAGCTGCTGATTATCCTTTCACAATTTGAGTTAAAACTGACTTTCTTTTTTGTTGCAGCACGCTCTCAAACAACAAATTGAAGCACTTGCCGAAGGAAGTTTTCAGCAGAAATTCTAATCTGATAAAACTGTAAGTCATATTGACTTTGTCAACTTCTTTTGTATTTTGATGTATTGAAGATTAACGGATGGAAAATAATGTTTCATTCAGTGAGGTTCTTCGGGTGCGTTTCGCAAATCAAATTGCATGAATTTCGCAAATTAGCTAAATTCATGCATTTTGATTTACAAAATTCACTTTAAAAATTATTATGTCCGCTATTCCACGTAAAGATCCACACATTGAGCTTGATCATGAAAATATTAAGTTAGACCTTAGAGCCCACCTGCAAATGTTAAGTTGGTGAAAGGACAACAAAAACAACAACACCAGCAACTACAACCTGACAAAGAAAACCCGTTGAATCTAGTAACGAAATCAGTGTCAATCTATCATTTCTCTTGGACATAACCGAAGTATTTCCAGAGATAACCTCCATGTGATATGTAATTTCTGAGTGATGAGTAAACTTTGATAAGGTATCTATGTCGGACCATCAATATCAGAGTATTTATTCTTTTGCTCGATTCGAACGTAGAACATAAACACTGACGGGCGAAATGACCCTCACATGGGAAATAGATCATCCATGATAAACTTGGAAAAATTCGTCCATCTTTACTATATTTTTAAAGCTCTCTTCCGGCTCTGTAAAACTTTTAGGTAAAAAAACTTAATGTCTTAAGTAAAGCAGCTTGGAAAGTTACACGGCGAGATAAGTAAAAGAAAACGATATTGAGATCAGCTGAAAATTTGGACTTCAGTAAATTTCTTAAGTTCATTATTTCATATCGTACTCAAAGAACACTTACCATTGCAGTGTAAAAATACTCGAACTAAACAGAGAATCGTCGATATATCTTAGATCAGCTTTATACAAAGTGCTCTGCATGAGAAGCATATCAGTTTATTGCTAAGAGCCAAGTAGTAGATCGGACCCAGTTTAAGCCTTCGGAGCTAACCTCTATATTCATGGGAAAGAAGTCACTTAGAGCTGTTACACAAAGTGAGACAGAATTACTTCTGAGCGCAGCATTGAAATTACTATAAGAATATAAACACTTGCTTCTGATCCTTGCTGTGGAGGAAAAATTGATGTTACATGTATTTACTATCCTCTAAGATAGCCAAAAAAACATTTCGGGTGTTTCCGTGAGCATCATTACCATTGCATATTTATTTATTTTTTTATTTGCTGGTTTTGGTAAACAGCAAAAGCGTTGGTCAAATTAAGCTCTGGTATTTTCGAAAATTATCTTTAGTATATAATTAATCATTTCAAGTGTACACGCTCCCTTTGATCGAGGCCAAGTGAAAGAAAATCGTTTTTGGTCAGCTCATTACGAAAACCCATGGCCGTTACGGAGGCTTTAAGAAAATTTCCTATTTTTTATAAACCCAAGATTTAATGAGGTGGGACATTTTATTTCCGTGCCGCAGAAATTCACAATTTTAACTATGCGGTATTTTAAAAACAACCTTAAGTTTAACTGTATGAGCTTGTCACTCAAAAGCGAGTTTATTGATCACACCTTTTCTTCATGCTAAATTGCAATTAGCACATAAAGAGGTAGGTTTGTTTAAGTCTTTGAAAACAAAAAAAGCTTGTAAGGTAGTTTCAGCACTATCATAGCTTTTCGATAATTTATGGTGGTTCCAAATTTATTCCACTGATATTTTTAAAAGTTTCTAAGAGCTAAGTCATGATATGCTGACTGGTACTGAATAATCAAATCTTGGGTTCACCGAACTCGTTTTTGGGTGATATACACGGAAAGCTAAAACTAGATGACACTGTAGTAGACTGAAGTGTTGCTATGGTAATCGTTTGAGCCAAAAAAAACTGGTCAAAACTTGTTAAGCAATTGTTCGCCACGGATATTCCTCGTGGATGTGGAATTGGTTAAAACGTTCAAACCGAATTGTTGGAGGAGGTTTACTGATCTATTAGTTGATAAAAGTTATCTTGTTTAAATGGTCACTGCTTGATCGAAAAGGTGAATGGCATAAGGATAATCCTGATGAATGTACATTTCATCAGATCTTTTCAGCCATTAGATCGGCAAATGGTTTGAAGTTAAAGGAAAAACTCATAGCTGATTCATTTGTACGTGAAGCTCAAATTAACAAGCACCATACGGACAGTGCGAGTCTCTTATATATTTGAAAGCTAGGCAATTCAGGTTACCAGTGGAGTAAATAAAATAATTAGGTAATTTGGTATAATCAACTGATTTGATAACGTAAATTGGTTACCGTATATAGTTTCAAAGCTAACGTTTCAAGCGTTAGCCCTTCGTCAGAGCAAATCGCTAATTTACGTTATCAAATAAGTTACACTCTTCCACCGACGCAGCATCACAGTTTCTTTAGAAACTTACTCCCTCCATAAATAGGTAATTGATTTGTTAATTTGTTCCTAGGGACTTGTCCAAAAACAAGTTGCAGAACTTGCCAGCAGGGGCCTTTAGTAACAACACAAGGCTGGAATATCTGTAAGAATGACGTTTCTTTAGCTTACGAACTTTCATTAATGATTTTATAATCACGTGCCGATGTATAGAGACATGATATGGGCTTTCACATCAGAATGAGTTGGAATCTGAACATCCTGTCAAAAAATATAAAACAATACAATATTTCTTAGATTGGCAACTTCTCTTGTACAACTTAGTCCACTTACATTTCACATTTATTTGGAGTCTGGCAAGAGTCTTATCTACATCCCTAGGGGACTTAAGTCTACCATAGTAACTGGATAACAAAATGTCGTTTATCATGGTTAGATCCAGTTATGAAATTATTCAAACAATACAATTCGATAATGCTCACTATGTTTCACCAACTCGTTCAACATGATGACATAACTGGTAAATAATCTTCGTTTTTTAACCCTCTTTAGCCCATTGAGTCGATAATAAGGTTTCGTATTCCTGAGGTGGTGTGATTTTACCAAGGAATGTTTTGGCTTTAAAACATGCGTTATCTATTAGGATCATGGTGTGCCTGTGACATAGCAGTTTCGATTCCGGGTACAAGTTTTTGTTTTTGTTTTGGGAAATTCTTAAATTTTTATCTTTAGACATCTTATTCAAGCATTGAGCTCTATCATAGAACTTTCCTCGCAAAAGATATTAACTTTACGAATATTCTTTGGTTTCAAAGCTTAAACTTAAACATGAGTTCTGGAGATGGTCCAGGTGGTAGTCTCAGGGTGGGATTTATTTGAAATGTTAACGTCTTTAGGACAACCCCGGCCGAATTGAATTGGAGGAAAATAGTTTCTCATTAAAGTACTCTTGTCCCTTGATCTCTAGTTTAGTTTCCATGAAGGTACACGCATGAAAAAGTAATCAAGATAATCGATTCAAATCCTCACCCCTCTTAAATGTTGTCTACGCTCCACCTCATTAAAAAAACCGCACCAAAGTCAAATTTCCGCTCTCTCAAGCACGTCAGTAACCTAATCATGTTTCCTGGGATTAGCTTGAGGAAGATTTCAGTTTTTCGATTTTTTCAAGATTGACCTCTATTTTTCATATCTTGATGTTGCTTATCAAATGGATGACACATGGGAGGGAGTTAAGAAAGTTCAATCTTCGCGCCGGCGTCCATCGGGCAAAATAAGTTTTTCGATCCACTATGCGCTTGGAAAACATTCTCTTTCGCACAGCTGACGCTCGAGCTTAGCTTCAAAAACTGGGCAAGGTAAAAAATTTACGACTCGTTCCTTGTCTTTTTGAATACCACACTTTTTGCGCTCATGTGCTCCCGTACAAGAGATTTCAATTTTTTTTGCTCCCGTACCAGCCATAAAACTACCTCTGCTGCCTAAGAGCTGTGTTTATATGTTTATTTTTTTTTCGGAAATATTCGGTCATAAAATGAACAAGTTAAAGTAGACGATAAAGAAAGTGATATTAACATCCTAAACTTTGAAAACAGCGCGACGCTTTTCTAGTGACAATCAATCACCTCTCTCTCCCCATACCACGTTGTTTTTGTCTTCCAATCTCTTATCGCGTAAATACCCAAGGATCCTAAACTTGGGCAAAATTTGTTGCACAGAAACAATATCGCCTGACGTGGTCACCTACAGGTGCATTTTCGACCATGCGATTGAATGGTCCTTAGGAAAAACGAACAATAAGCAGTAGTACTTTAAGCGGTGAGGACGGCAACTCCGAGGAAGCCGTTCAAAAATGAATTTATTCATATTCGACTTTAACATTGGTCAGTTTGCGTTTTGAACATACGACCAGCGAGTTTAAAAGGATTCTAACAAAGCGCTATCTAAAAATATCTGCTTTATTTCTTTAAATTCGAGCGTTTTAATTTTCGTCAGGCAATGAGTCTGATTAAAGTATTTGCCTTTTTTAAAAAAGAACAGCTTCCCTGAGCTTCCCTCTATGACGGGGGTGTTACTAAACAGAGTAACGGGGCAAGGAGTAACGGAGTAACAAGAAAACGAGTAACAGAACTGTGTTCTTGTATGTTAAGTGATTTCGGAGCAATCTGAGACAGAAAATACCTCGGGATTTACTTTAGTTTTTCCAATCGCTCCTCATCTTTAACACGCGAATTTTGTAACGTCGCTTAAAAAAATGAACTCACATTTTACCTACGAATTTCACAATACTCTAAAGTAATTTAGTTTGTTTCTTGTTGTCAAAACTATCTCGAAACTGAATATGGAACACAGCGTTAAATTAGTAATAGAAATTTAAAAAATAAGCCGTTGTCGTTAAAGTTCTCCAGACAACGCAAAGTTTGGATATTTCACGTTGTTGTTTTGCAGAGGACGAAAAGAAATTTACAAAGGTTTATAGCGGACGTGCACAGCCATTTTTCTGCTCATTAAACCTTTCGTTTAGTGACATTGCCGTTGCCGTTTCCGTCGTGATTTTCTTAAACTCCCTATTATCCGGGAACACAACACTGTTTCTCACAAACCCACGGAGCGGCAATGACCGTAGCTTTTGCCAATATATTCTTCATGACAAAAATAGAAAAAAAGTATTATCAACCAG